CCTCTACCTCCTGGGTTCAAGCAATTCTCATGCCTCAGCCTCCTGAGTAGCTGGGATTACAGGCATGCACCACCATGCCCAGCTAATTTTTTGTATTTTTAGTAGAGACAGGGTTTCACCATGTTGACCAGGATGGTCTCGATCTCTTGACCTCGTGATCCACCCGCCTCGGCCTCCCACAGTGCTGGGATTACAGGCGTGAGCCACCGCGCCCGGCTAAACGAACTTTTATGGGGCATATCTAGATTTGCATGAAAATGAACCGACTTGAAAGCCAGTTTTACATATGAATGAGTTCTATCTTTAAGGTCTTTGTGTTCTAGAGAGGTAATACCACATAGTAATTTTGAACTTGAGTTTTGGAATCAGGCAGACCTGAGTTTGTCTCTGTCATGGATTATTTATCAGGTATGTGATCTTAAACAAACTTCCTAACTCCCTGTGCTGCAGTTTCTTTATGTATAAAATGGGTTTCTGCAGCATTCTTGTGAAGATTAGATGATAAAATGTATATAATAAAGTATAAATTTGAAATAAATTTTTGTTTAGAAACTCAGCTGTGTTTCACATGTTTAAAGCAGTATAATTCACAATTGCAAAAATATGGAACCAACCTAAATGCCTATCAACCAACAAGTGGATAAAGATAATATGGTATATATACACCCTGGAATACTATTCAGCTATAAGACGAAACAAACTAATGGCATTTGTAGCAACTTGGATGGAACTGGAGACCATTATTCTAAGTGAAGTAACTCAGGAATGGAAAAACCAAAGATTGTATGTTCACACTTGTAAGTGAGCCAAGCTATAAGGTTGCAAGGGCGTAAGAATGATAATAATGGACTTTGGGGACTCAGAGGGAAGGCTGGTAGGGGAGCAAGGAATTAAAGACTACATATTCGGTACAGTGTACACTGCTCAGGTAATAAGTGCACCAAAATCTCAGAAATCACCACTAAAGATCTTATCTACGTAACCAAAAACTACCTCTACCCCCAAAACTATTGAAATTAAAAATAAGAAATTTACCTGTGTTAGCCTTCCCAGGGTTCAGTGGCATAATTCATATCAGTGGGGAAAATATGCTTTGAGTCTTACATTAAATGAATGTCTGTTGAGTGTCTTTGCTTTGCCAGGCCCTGTGCTAGGCACTGTAGATAACATAGTGAACCAAACAGATATGGGTTCTGCTCTCACAAACTCATTAGCTTATTGGGAGAGATGATTTCATTTGAACATTCACCAATAAATGTAAAACGACAGCACTAGCAAGTGCTCTGAAATAGCGTGATGAAATAACAGAATAGAGTACATTGATCCCATGGGAAGGTGAGAGAAGGCTACTGGAATGAGGGAACAATTGGGTGGGATTCTGAAAATTGAGTAGAATTAACTAACCAGAGAAGATACAGGAAGGCATGCCAGGTAGTGGGAACACATGTTAAGTGGACATTTGTTGATTTTGGGGTCACCCTGCATTCATTCTTCCTCCTTCTGGTAAGAACTGCCCATTTTCTCTTGGAGAATTACTTTGTCCTGTTGTTTAAAGCTTTATGGGGATTTTTATTCAAGGTTTCCTAGCCGAGGTGTGGACATGTGACCCACGCCAGCCACACCCATTGAACTGTCCTCTGGGACTGTGGATCTTAAGCATAGTGAAGCAAGGGTGATGGGGTGGGGTGGTAGTTGGAGCTGATATTTCCTGTTCTAGGTGCCCTGATGAGACTTTATTTTTCTCCTACTACCTGTGTTCTGGAGCTGTTCTGACTCCTACCCTGGTGCTTCAGCTACTCCTCTGACACAGGAGCTGCCTTCCAGCAAATCCCCTGAGGCAGATGGAGGGATGCATCCGGGACTGAAAGATCTACACTGTGACTTAAACGGAAAGAAATCGGGGGTTGTGTGAAGCAAGAGGAGGCTGAAGGATGGGAACAAGAGCAGACCACTTAGGGCACTGGAGGACAGGTTAAGGATTTTAGTCTCCATCCTAAAACAAAAGGGAAGCTATTGAAGTAATTTAAGCATAGGGATGATGTGATCAGGGTTGCCTTTTGAAAAAGCAGTTCTGACAAATAAATTGGGAAGTTAGTGGAGGTAGGTAGACCAAGTTAGGAGGTTATTTAGTAGGTCATATGAAAGGTGAAAATAGGTTGGTGGTACTTTGGTGGAGACGGTAAGAAGTGACAGGCTCAAGAGAGATTTGAGAAGGTGGATTCATGGGATTTGATGATGGATTATATATAGGGAGTGACAGAGGAAAGAATTCAAGATAACTTCTGGATTTCTAGCTTATGAAACAGCATAGAGAGTGCTCTGGTTTGAATGTTTTGTCCTTCCAAAATTCATGTTGAAACTTAATCCTCAATGCAATAGTATTAAGAGGTGGAGCTTTCAGGACTTGATTGGGTCAGTAGGACTCTGCCCTAATAAATTGGATTAGTGCTCTTGTAAAATGGCTTGAGGGAGTGAGTTCATCTTTTTTTCCCTTTTGCTATGTGACGATGCAGCAAGAAGGTGCCATCCTAGAAGCAAAGAACAAGCCCTCACCAGACACCGAATCTGTTGGCCCCTTGCTATTGGACTTTCCAGCCTCAGCTGCGAGAAATAAATTTCTGTTCTTTATAATTTGGCCAGTCTTTGGTGTTTTGTTATAGTAGCCCCAAACAAACTGAAGCAAAAAATTGGTACCAGGAATGGGGTACTCTGTAACAAATACCTAAAAATGTAAAAACAGAGTTGGAACTGGGTAATGAGCAGAGACTGGAACAATTTGGAGGAGCAGGCTAGAAAAAGCCTGTATTGCCATGAATGGAGTATTAAGGGTGATTTTTGGTGAGAACTCAGAGGAGTTGTAGAGAAACCCTCAATCTTCTTAAAGATTACTTAGGTGGCCATGAACCAGAAAGTTGGCAGAAATATGGAGAGTAGCCTGGGCATGGTGGCTCCTGCGTGTAATCCCAGCACTTTGGGAGGCTGAGGTGGGAAGATTGCTTGAGCCCAGGAGTCCAAGACCAGCCTGGGCAACATAGGGAGATCCCATTTATATTTTAAAAAAATTTTTTTTTTTTTTTTAAAAGTAGCCAAGCATGGTGGTGCATGCCTGTAGTCCCAGCTACTAAGAGGCTAAGGTAGGAGTATTACTTGAGCCTGGGAAGTCGAGGTTGCAGTGAGCCATGATTGTGCCACTGCATTCCAGTCTAAGTAACAGAATGAGACCCTGTCTCAAGAGAAAAGAAAGAAAGAAGAAAGGTAGGAAGGAAGAGAAAATATAGACAGTAAAGGACATTCTGATGAAGTGTCAGATGGAAATGAAGAACAAGGCAGTGGAAACTAGAGAAATAAGTTAATAAGTAGCCCCCCAAAATCCTTGGTTACATTGTATTCATGTCCTGGTTTCTCTTATAAGCCATAAAATATGATATTTGGCAGGAGAAATCTCTAAGCAAAGTGTTAAAGAACTGCATGGCTTCTCTTGACTGGTTGTAATAAATTGTGAGAAGAGAGAAGTGAATTAAAGATGGAATTTAAAATTAAAAGAGAAGCAGAACTTAAATATTTGGAAAATTCTTAGCCTTGTCAAGTTGTAAAGAATGAGAACCATGGTTGGGAGAGCACAACAAGAGTGTGACCAAGCAAATGTTTGATAAGGAGATTAATATGGCTAGAAGAAAGTCAGATGCTATTAATTAAGAAAATGGAAGAATGACCCCCAAGGTATTTTGGAGATCTTCAAGGCTGCCACTGCCATCACAAGCCCAAAGTGCCAGGCCCTTGAGGACAGAATGATTTCAAAGCAGGAGCCCAGGGCATCTGCGGGACCTTGGGGCCCACTTCCTAGTATTGCCTCAAGTTTCTGCTTCACAAATTCTGGTGCAGTGCCCCACAACCACCTCGGGTATGGCTCCAGTCGGCCCAGGTACAATACATTTGGGAGAGAGTCCCCACTAGGGAAATGTCTAATGGAGCTATGAGAATAGGGCCATCTTTGTGACCCCAGATTGGCAGAGCCACCAGCATGAAACATCAGCCTGGGAGAGCCACAGCCACATGACTTCAAACCCTGCTCATGCATGGGTTGTGCCCAGCAAAGCCATAGGGGTGAGGCCACCTGGGTAAACCCTAGTGTGTTCAGAAGATGGGACATGAAGTCAAAGATCATTCTTAAGCATTCATATTTAATGTTTGCCTTGTTAGGTCTTGGACTTACTTGAGTCCTGTTACTCCTATCTTTTCTATTTTTCATTTTTAGAACGAGAATGTATATCCTATGCTTATCCCACTATTGTAATTTTTTTTTTCTTTCGAGACAGACTCTCACTCTGTCACCCAGACTAGAGTGCAGTGGCGTGATCTCGGCTCACTGCATCCTCCACTTCCCGGGTTCAAGCAATTCTTCTGCCTCAGCTTCCCCAGTAGCTGGAATTACAGGCACCCACAGCACACCTGGTGAATTTTTGTACTTTTAGTAGAGATAGGGTTTCACCATGTTGGCCAGGCTGGTCTTGAACTCCTGACCTCAATGATCCACCCACCTTTCCTCCCAAAGTGCTGGGATCACAGGCCACTGTGCCCAGTCACTATTGTAATTTGAAAGCATATAGCTTGTTCGATTTCACAGGTTCACAGCTGGAGGGGAAGTTTGTCTCAGAGTAATCATTCACTGAATCTCAGCCATATCTCATTTAGATGATATTTAGGTGAGACTTTGGACTTAGACTTTAAAGTTGATGCTGAATTCAGTTAAGACTTTTGGGGCTATTGGAATGATAGTAATGTATTTTTGTAAGTGAGAAAAACATGAATTTAGGGGAGCCAGGGGCAAAATGCTGTAATTTGAATGTTTGCATCCCTCTAA